CTTGACTGCCCCCAGTAGTGGGGGCCACTGAGCTCGCCCCTTCTCCCAGGAGCTATCACAATCAGGAAAAGCCCCTGCAGGACAAGCCCCTGCAGATCCAGGTCCAGAAGCTGGCTCTGGAGTTAAAACAGCAAAAGGAAGAGGCCCAGCTGGTGAGAGGACCTGGGGCTTGGGCAGGGGGTGGCTTTGGAGAGAGGGGCAGGGTCAGAGAAGGCCCCACCTGCCCTGCGGGCTCTCCTGGAGCAGGAGAAAAAGACACTGGAGGAGAAGCTGGAGCAGACCAAGACCGCGGTGCACCAGCTGGAGGCCCAGCTGGAGGCCTTGCACAAGTCCTGCCTCGTGAAGCTGGCCAGCTCCTCCTGGGTGGGCCGCATGCTGAGGTCATCCACCGGCAGTGTGGAGGTGCGTCTGCCCGGCCCCCCTCCGGCCTCCCAGCCCAGCCTGCCCAGATTTGAGCTCTTGCTGGGGGGCTCTGGCCTGCTGGGGAAGCCTGCCCCGTCTCAGGCTGCCTCGGACGGTGGCCTGAGACAGGGAGGAACCACACGCCCAGGGGTCCGGGCCCACCTGACACTCAGCAAGTGTCTGCCTCAGGTGCTGGGGAGGCCGCAGGGGAGAGATGTCTTGGGGGGACAGGTGCCCTCCCCCCAGCCCCTGCCCACTGGCCTCCGGTCCCTCTTGCAGGTGGTGACCGCGGAGACCCTGCTGGACCTCAGTGACACCTCTGAAAATGATGAGGCCTCCCCTGCTCAGGAGGTGAGCCAGGTCCCCCACGGGCACCCACGGCTCTGGCGGGGAGGGGTGGGCCACACGCCTGTTGCTTCGTGGGCAGGGTTTCCGGGTGGAGGATGTGGACTGGAACGCCATCGCCCATCGATTCCCCAACCTCTTGGCCAGCATGAAGTCGAGCTCGGATTTCAAGTGACTGTGCTGGGCGGGGAGGGACTCCCCCAGGGGCCTGGGAGGGGAGGGCTGGCCGAGTCCTAGCACCACCCTCAGGGGCCCTGGACAAGTCACTTGAGTCTTTTGGGAGTCAGCTCTCTGATCTCCAGGACAGGGTAGGGGATGCAGGGAAGGGCTCCGAGGCTACCTCGGTCCTGCCCAGAGCCCTTTGCCCAGGCTGGGTCCTGGGGCCCTGGACCACAATTTGGGGTGCCCCGCCTACCGTGGAGGGACAAGCTGGGGGCAGGGCTGGGTCCGGGAGCAGTCGCCCAGCAGCTAGTGAGCAGGCCGTGGCCTGCAGGCGCAACTCACACCGGCAGACCCCGCAGCTCCCACCCGGCTCACCACCTGAAGACAGTGGCTCCGGGCTGGACAAGCCTGAAGACAGTGGCTCCGGGCTGAGCAAACTGCCCAAGGAGTCTCTTCGCAAGAGCGTGGAGTGGAGCTCCCTGCCCCTCGGGGGCATCAGCAGCTCGGGGAGCTCTGAATCTGACGCTCGCCGCGGCATGCGGAAGGTGTCAGGGCACCCACCCCTGGTGCCAGGCCGCATCTCTCACGAGCAGGCAGAGCCTCGGCACCTGAGTTCCATCCGAAGCTCTCAGGACTCCCGTGCCAGGAGCTCCATCAGGGACCCACAGGACATCCGTACCAGGAGCTTCATCGGGGGGTCGCAGGACTCTCGGCCCAGCAGCTCCCTCCGGAGTCCCATCAAGGACTGGAAGGCCGAGTCTAAAGGTGGCTGGGGCGGGCCTCCCTGTTTTCTCCCTTCCGCCCTGCAGGGCCCTGGCGATCTCTGTCCAGTGCCCTAAATGAGGCCCCCCAACGGCCTCGCCTTCACGGTAGCTCGGAGGGAGGCTGCTGGGGGCTCCTTCCGCCTCTCTGTAGGGATTAGGGCAGCGGTTCTCCACCTGTGGGTCGCGACCCCTTTGGGGGTCAAACGACGCTTTCACAGGGGTCGCCTAAGACCATCGGAAACCACATATTGTTTTTGTGATTAATCACTGTGCTTTCATGATGTTCAATTTGTAACAATGAAATTACATCCTGCATATCAGATATTTACATTATGATTCATAACAGTAGCAACATGACATGAAGTAGCAACGAAAATACTTTTATGGTTGGGGGTCACCACAACATGAGGAACTGTATTAAAGGGTCGCGGCATGAGGAAGGTTGAGAACCGCTGGATGAGGGGGTCTTGCAGGCCTCCGTGCTCTGGCTGGAACCCCTCCCAGTACCAGGAGCTTCTCCTCTGCTCCCCTCGGCCCCAGGGTCCCGCCACCCCTCCTGCGCTGGACCTGACCCCTGGCGCTGCAGGCCAGGCGGCCTCGCAGGCGATGTCCCCGGAAGAC